GCGGCCGCAGACGACCGGGGAAGCCGACGCGGACGATCGAAGAGATGCGCGATCGGAAGGAGCGGCGCTCGGATGCAGACGATAAATCAGGGCAGCTCTCGGTCAAGGAGAACGCGGGAGGTGATGGAGCCGAGCGGAAGAGGTTTTCTTTATGTCTCTGATACCATGTGATTTTAGAATAACCTTTTTCCTTACTGAATACATAGATAAATCACCTATAAATAGGCGAGTACAAGAGATAAAAGGAGGAAAGAAATCTTCCTACAATTAAGTAATTCCTATAATTAAGGAATAAACATAAATACCTATAATTAAGGAGTTACCCTTTTTATACCATGACAAAATATAGCAAGTACTAAATAGAATAATGCAAGAGATTACATTGACTACCGAAACTCAACAAAAAATCACAAGAAAAAAAAGGAAAAAAAAAACAGCACTAAGAAAAAAATCAATCCGTGGCCAGGTAGAAAAGAAAAGAGATTACATTCACTACTGAAACTCAACAAAAAATCACAAGAAAAAAAAAGGAAAAAAAAAAACAGCAGTAAGAAAAAAATCAATCCGTGGCCAGGTAGAAAAGATAAAATATGTCACACAATTATCAATTTTTCCTTAACAAGCTCTCAAACTGCATTATGAAGACGGCTCCAACGCCAAATTGTTTGAAACATACTAGACAAGAAATATTGCCAATAACAGGCAAAATCACACGCACGCACGCTATATATATATATATATATATATATATATACAGAAAAATGCAAAGAGCGAAGTTCAATCAAGTCATACAAAGCAAATGGAAGGACTTCACACCACTTTGTGGATAAAGGTTGCAAGATTCAACTCGAATACTTAACCCCAACACATGCAAACAACTCAAATCCTTACAAAAGTAGTTCCTAGTTTTTGGTCATTGCCATGCAGCACTAAATTAAGCATAAAAAAAATTAGAAATATATCTAATGGCCTTATAGGCATCTTCACAGACCCCTCATGCATGAACACCAATTTATTCAACAGATATACTACTAAATTCTACAACATGGAGTTTGTACACTAACCACTAACATTTACATCAGTAATTAATGGCATAATTTCATACTTTTGTAGAGCCAAATGAACCTGGTAATTTGCACATTCTTTTCTCCACGACTTTTTCAAATTCACTGTTAGAACTGGATAGCATTTGATTCAAAATCAACCTTACATTGCATTCTTTCATCCGAAAATGTCTAGGTTTTATCCTTTCATTTAAGCTATATCCAAAGTAATGAGGAAATTTGACCAGTTCTGATCTTGGATAATCCATTGTGAGGAAGTAGTTCCACTTCGGTATTATGTTGTCGGACAAGCTAAAGGTATACAATGCTCCATATCTCAAAACCATGGTTGCAATTTCCTGCACGCTGTAACCTCTCTCAAGGAAGAATTCATTGACGGGTCTAAGATTCCCATCAATACTTAGACCAAAGGTCTGTGGGCATCGGTAGATTAGAGAGGCAGGATCAATGTTCAATGACAGAAAGTATTCCGCAGTAGGGCGTAGTTTTTCTTCCACACTATAGCTAGTTATATGGGGGCATCGTGTCAAAATCTTCCCTATGTTCTTCTCTGGAACACCTATCTCACTGAGAAAATCCACCGAAGCCTTTACCTTCTGCTTGCTATAGGTGAGAAGTGCAGGGAAGCGGTATATCACCTTAGCCCATTTGGTTTTGTCAACCCCATAGCTCTCAAGGTAAGTCATCATGGGCTTCAACTTCTCTGAGAGGCTGATCCCACACAACTGAGGCCTTTTATGAAGGATGGTTGGTATATCTGATTTATCCATACCAAGCTCAAGGAGAAACTCTACTAAAGGCTTGATCTTTTGGTCCAAAGTATAGTAAGCAAAAGCAGGGAATCGACTTACAATGCCCTTAATTTGTTCAAGTTTCAGACCGAGGTCCATGAGGTATAGAACATTAGCAGGTAGAAGCCCATCAGCATTCTCCTGAGAAACTCGTGCAACAGCCCTTTCTTTCTTTCCAAGGCTATAGCTTGCTGTTAGACTAACTGGATTAGCCTTTTCCCAACCAGGAGGATTCGGGTAGCTCACCACCAGATCAACGAAAAGATCACCATTCTCTTCATGAAGAGATTCTAGGTAAGGAATGAGGGCGTTTCTGATTTCAATTGTAGTGAGCTCTCTTCCTGCAGTTTAAACATAAAAATTGGTTATGTTTCTAAATATATTTACAAGTGTAAGGCTTCCGACGAATAATTAGAGCTCAAACCTACAAGAAACCAAGATTTATAGAAACTCTGGAGTTTTGACATAAGATGATCAATAAAAAGATCCGACTTTTTGACAATCCTTAAAGCCACAGCATTGCTGAATCCCTGTTTTCTAAGGAATAATGATAGAACAGCTTTTGCTTCCTCCCTTTCTGCAGCCAACAGGTTAAAGGGAACTGCCACTAAACTGTGATCATCAGCTTCTGATTCATCTGATCAAAATATAAAAAATGTTTAAAACCTTCTAAGTAAGAACATACTGGCAAAGCTACATTTATTTGGGAGTAAAGGCAAGGGAAAATGTTACTAGAAGTGGAATAAAAATAATTTAGTTGCTTACATGTCTTCGCTTTGCAGGCAAGACAAGCTTGAGAACTTCTGATTCGAACCCTATAAGAGTATATACAAAGATCAAATGGAACAAACATACCAAGCCTACAATCATGATAGCAGATGGTTTAGAAAAACAAGCTTTCATTTTACATTCAACCTTCATTTTGTACAAATTACCGAGCTCGTAACCCTAGAGTACTTCACCAAAAATATCTGCCACGCTCAAGTTATAAACAATAAGAATAGAAATGAAGCTTTATCACGTCCTCATAAAACCATTCACGCAAAACAAGAAACCAAACATGGAACTAATCATAGCGTTCAAAAGCAGTGGAACCCAAAAATCTGGCTTCAATGAAGAAACCAAATGAGATTCGGAAATTCCAGTTATGCATTTCAAAGAATTGCGATTTTTACAGCAATTAAATAATTTACATATAGATATGAAGAGAAACAATGATATTCACCTCGATATTGAGATGGTAGAGACTCTCAGAAGCCGGGTTATCGAGCTGACATCCGACCGAGAGTTAGCTCTGCGGACTGGACTTCGAAATTGCTGCGTTTTCTTCCAGTAGCCAGTTTCTCCACTGGCGTTGAATAACGGATTCTTCTCCATTGTCTCCATTATTTTGAACTCGAACTGAAAATTCGCAAGAAACGCCATGGCTAAAGCGATTTTCTGCCCTCAGCCGCAGAAAGGGCAGAAGGAAAGGATTGCGGCTGAGGGCAGAAGGAAAGGAGCCGGTTTTAGAAAAATACTGCCTCCGGTCCAAAAAAAACGGTTGCCTCCGGTCCAAACAAAACGGCCCCCATCGAGTAAAAATTATTACTTACGGCACCTAACTACAGAAGTGTAGGTGCCCCAATTTTAATTTTATTTAAATAAATAAATTTCCGCTGTCCACAGGAACAATGGCTCATTGGCTCCACATCTAATTCCGTTTTTTTGTCATTTAAAAAAAAATATTAAAAGTTTATTTTTTTTAGGTGAGCCGACATGCTAAACGCCCAAATACTCAAAAAAAAAAAAAAAAAAACGCGAGTTGTTGTTTCATATTCATTTTTTTAAAGTTTTCATCTGCGGTTTGGAGTTCTCTTGCCAGAAACTACTCCAGGTGTAAGAGGTCTTGAACAATGCATATTTTTTTGAAGTATTCGAGCAGTCTTTGGGTTAGGTCTTGCCGAAAAATGATTTTTAACATTTTTTTTAAATGAAAAAAATGGGCGTCACCACTTTACAGATGGTGAGGTCTTATTGGAGTCAGGATGCAAAAATATGTCTTGATTGACGACCCCAGCAACTACCAACACTTTAATTATAATTTAATTTAACGCACATTCTTTATTGAAGTGTCAGGGTTCCTACGTAAGTGCACGTATTGCTTTTGTAATATAGAGCTCTACTTGAGTGCAGAATGTTGATCCCACTGGGAATGTGGTAGACTTCATAATAATAACAACCTAAGGTGAATTCTAGTCTATTACTTTCAGGTCCTAGTTTGGAAGATCGTTAAAAATGATTTTTCTAACAACTACTCCTAATTATATTTCTACCCCTAAGTTAAACTCGATATGAAGAGAAACAATGATAGTTACCTCGAAATTGAGATGGTAGAGACTTTGAGAAGTCGGGTTTTCGAGCTGACATCCGACTGAGTGTAAACTCTGCGGAGTGGACTTTGAAACTGCTTCGTTTTCTTCCAGTAGCCAGTTTCTCCACTGGCGTTGAATAACAGATTCTTCTCGATATTTTTTTTACATATAGATATGAAGAGAAACAATGACGCTAAAGTAAAGTCTATCACTAAACATTTACTTCGAAAATGTAGGTGACGCTAAAGTAAAGTCGCAGGAGCATCAAACTAAGGGGACGCTAATTTGCATCGACCATGGCCGACACTAATTAACATCCCTGGTTTGACGCTCTTGCAGTGCTTTAGCAACGACATATATCGATCGACTGATTGTAGGTTTTAGAGTCAGAATATACCGACGCTAAACCAACGCAAACTTGTACGAAAAAAATAGTAAAACAATCAGATTTTCACACACCTGCAGATAACAAACACAATCAACATAATAGAACAACAAATCTCCAACATATTTACATAATGATACCAAATTGGATTAAATATAAACAAATTAAACTTTTCAAAGTTCACAACACAAGAGAATCAAAGTTTGATTAAGTGGAAATAAAAAAAATATACAATCAACCCCTATGTCGGGGGGAACAAATCAAACACAAAATAAAATCCTAATCTTCCTTGCCAGCATCATCCTGCTTCTCCTCCTCCTTAACAACAGTCATATGATGCTTGCTTCAACGATCAAGACTCTTCGTCAGGCGTGTCAGATTATCTACAACATTCTTCTGGCTTTCACGCATTTGTCGAAGCTCTTCATTCATCATCATCACACGCCTTCCAAGCTCCTCGTGTTAAGCCTGTAACGAGCTGTTAGGGCCACCCACAAATGCACATGATCACTTTACCTCAAATGCTATCATCTTTGCTCTTATGCCATACACTCTCCCCATTTCTTCCTTGTCGCCTGCATCCACAACTCAAAATCGAACTGAGCATTAGTAGACTGACTATCACAGCTACTGGCGGACAGCGATGTCTGGTTGACTATTCCCTCCGTCTCTCTTAGAGCTGCTCGTACTCGTCCTACATAACAAAATTCAAATATTAATTTGCATTTTAAATATTAATAAACATATTAATAGCCCTGTCTGGTTGACTATTTTTTTAACTTACATTGTTCAGATACCCAATGTCCCACCAAAAATAAAAAATTATATTTTTTTAACTTACATTGTTCAGATACCCAATGTTGTGTGTCCGCACGTCGATGTGTGAGGACATGTAACTCTGCAGTAGATGACTCTCGGTCAAGCTCCTTGTCCCGTATAGAAGATCAGATAAATTTAAGAGTAACATAATTACATAAATTTGAAAGCTTCTAAATTTTTAGATAAACTTACTAGTCTCTAGTTGGGTTTTGTGTGGGGGGTCAAACCTCCAATGTGGAGTGCTGCCCCTCAGGCTCCCTCGATCGTCTGGTTCTACTGATTTATTTGTCTCTTCCTCTTATATTCCGAAGAAGTCGATTCTCGATTCAACTCAACCCAAACTTCCTCACCAACCTACAAGGCCCTCTGCCCTTTCTTCCACATCGTAGTAAACATGCACCAGAGCCTATGCCAGCACAAATCTCAAAAATCTGTTTGATCTACTAGTGATATTCTAATGACCAATAAAAAGACCTCTGCAAATTAGAATAATATGAGTTTGATTAGTATAAAAAGATAGATTATATTTCAAATTAAAATATCATACCTCAAACTCACTAAAGTAAATGTCCCGTGTCATAAACTATTTGAGGGGCATAAATTGATGAGGCTCCAACATGACAACATTGAACATCTGGTTCAAATTCATCAAGTGAAGTCAAATACCAATAATCCGGGTTTAAAGCCCCTACGTTATAGGCTCAACTTCACTTCTTCAGGTGTCAGGTAAACTTGATTCTTGTACTTCACACAGGGGCATCGAAACCCGCCTTCTGAAAAGTTAAACGGGCAGCTGTGATGCCACATGCACAAACTCTTCAACACTAGCTAAGAACTCGTCAATTAATCCATTTCTTCCTGGATATAATCTGTCATATATCCATGATCTAACATTTTGAATATTCATCGGTGTCATAGATGTAGCTCAATAGATTAGTGCAACATTACTGTGTCCCAATTACTCATTCTACCAAAATCTTAGGCAATCTACACATGATACCCAAAACCCATAACCTATAAATCCATAGAATCAACCAATTAACCCATTAACACACAAACTAACATATCAAACCATCATTAAAGTAGCAAGTTACCACATCATATCTTACCCTTAACCAAACAAAAATCAACACTAGTCTAACTCCACCTAAACTTGCATAGCACAAATTTCTTTTGTATTTACATATCTCACACATAAGTTTTCATATTTACATACATAGAACAAATTTCTTATGCATTCACATATACTTAAATTTTCATATTTACATGTATAGCACAATTTTCTTATGCATTTAAATATCTCAGACCTAAATTTTCATATTTACATACACATCACAAAATTTTTATGCATTTACATATCTCATACCTAAATTTTCATATTTACATACATAGCACAAAGTTCTTTTGGCACAAAGTTCTTTTGTATTTATATCTTTTGTATTTATATTTCTCAAACCTAAAATTTCATATTTACATACATAACACAAATTTCTTATGTATTTACATATCTCACACCTAAAGTTTCTTATATTGCACAAATGGCTTATGTATTTACATATCTCACACCTAAACATATGTAAAACCATGAAATTCATGCACATTGCATGCCTAACATTGAAATACGAAAAAAACTTGAGCAAAACCAATGTAATTTCGGATCTAACATCTATGTAAGGAAAAAATATATGAAACTTATGATAAACCAAAGCTTAGACCCACGAAAGAATATTTCTCACCTTGGACGGGGTTGGAGCGGTGAATCGGACCAGGAATCGCTAGAGAAGCTTGGGGGCGACAAACGAAAGCCGAAGGAAAAGGAAAGGAGTTTAGGGCGCGAAGTGGAGCTGTGGTGTAAGCTACCTACAATTTGGATTCTTCTATCCACTCCTCTCCAAGGCAAGTGGCAAATTCAGCAACCAGACGGTTCCAATGCCTTTCTCCATGGCTCATTGGATGACTTTATCTAGAGGAACCAACCTCAAGGCTTCCAAGACACTCAACATCCAACAAGGTATGCTTACTCAAAATGGCTCTCAATAGCCTAAACACAAGCACCACGAAAATGGTGTCAAACTCTAATTGATCACCTCCAAACCAAAGGGTTAAACCAAGCACCATCGACCTTCCCTACTCATCTACCATGAAAATCAGCTCACCAATTATTTTCTTGCATATGTAGATGACATTCTCGTCATAAAAAACAATCCAGTAGCTATCACAACCTCACGCACTCTCCAAATCAAAGTCCAACTTCCGGAATTGGGACAGATTAATACCTTCCTTAGCATCAACAAACGCTGCACATCACAAGGTTACCACCTCACACAATCCTCCTACATTCCTTCCCTCCTGCAACAACTTGGTGTATGTGCAAATCTGTCTCTACTTCCTCCCCCACAAACTCAATCCCGGCCAAAATTCACTTCAAGAGCTTCCCAATATCACACAATATCTGCAACTTATTTGCTCTCCTCTATTTCTTACCATCACTAGACCCAACATAGCCTTCGTCTTAAACTACATATGACAACATATGCATCTCCCTCTACTTTATCATTTCCAGCTCATTAAGTGTATCTTACGATACCTCAAAGGCACCATCACATTTGGACTTCCAATCATCGACAACAACATTCCACTACGAACTTACTCCGATTCAGACTAAGCTGGCAACTCTAAAGACAAATGCTCGACCAGTGGAGGAGTCGGCTTTATACTCAGATGTTTATAAATGAAGGCAATTCATATCTATCTGGAGTTTACGTGATAAGCTTCTCGTAATAGCTATACGTAAGCATTGTTCAAGTTGAAGTTTTAAACTTAAAAAATGTAACTTGACTATCGTTGAAATGTTTTTTTTTTTTTTTTAATTTCTGAGAATGCTATCAAATTCTTTCTGATTCCTAAGAAAAGAGGATAATGGACATCACTACCGCATTTGCATTGTTGAATTGCTCTTCACCTATACCGAATGAATTTATCATTTCGTCGAGAGAATTTGTAAAAAGAGCTACCGTTTTCATTTCAGCTTTGTAAAAAGAGCAACCATTCTTCTTAAACGAATGTTGGAATGATATTTGCTCTGAAAACAGCACTATTTTTGTTCATTGACACTTCTGACATATATAAGCTTGGTTTCTTTGATTCCATACAGACCGATTGATTGAATACACAACCGCAAATCATTATGTAACATTTTGCAATCATTAGAAACATGTTAGGGTCCTATTGGGGTCTTCCACCAAAAGTATTACAGCCGGGATACTGCAGCAGACGTTGCATGGGTAGTCAATACCTTTCTCAAGACTTTTCCAGCTGCAGACTTTGGTAGCGAATTGACAAACAAAACTTTGCGTATCTTCTTATATGGCGCAACCTGCTTACAACATGCACAGACATCGCACGTTATTTAATTTATATCTTTGGTATAAAAATATGTGCTTTTTTTTAAATATACCTTCTTTGCAACATAATCCATGACCTCCAATTCACTAATCTTGCTTCCGGGTTGCCTCACCACAAATGCTAGAGGTATCTGTCCTACTTCTTCTTGTGGATATCTACATTTGAGCAGAAAATATTAAGGAACTAAAGTGAATGCATTTAATAAATTTTTATGAAAGCAGTTATCAAGAAATAAAAAGACTTACGGGATCACAGCAGCTTCAATAATTTCCGGCAAAGACTGAAGAACTTGTTCCAGTTCAGCTGGTGGAACCTAGATGGCCATCAATGCCACTTAATGAAAGTTGCACAGGTTCGCTTTTGTCTTATTTTTTCTTTTCTTGTTTTTAGGGAACGTAACAATTATTTCAAATTAAATTCAATCAAAACTATGGTGTGAACTAACTTCAAATTTAGTTGAATTCTAAATACGGCCAAAAGGAAGTACGGTGTAAATTTCAAATTCATTTATACTTTGTATTATATTTATAATTCATCATATTAAATGCATAGTTTTCTCAAATTCCTGCAAAAGAATTACAATAAACCTCAAATTCACTCCACCAAATAACCCCTAAATAGAAAGGTTAAGTAACACTTTTTTTTTTTAAATGATAAATTTTAAACTGTGCTTAAATCAAATGATTATTAGACTGAATTTTGTGTTTAAGCAGAAGTCAAGCCAATCTTTTAGCACGAAACAAACAGTATCTCATACAGTGTGTTTCGAAATATGAAATACCTGATAAGCTTTGTACTTTATCAGCTCCTTCAACCTGTCTACAATGTAAATGTAGCCGTTCTCATCAATGGAGCACAGGTCTCCAGTCTTCAACCAACCTTGGGCATCAAGTGTCTTCGCATTGGCCTCCTCATCACCGACGTAACCTGAAATGGAAACACTTGTATCAGAAGTTTTTAACTTTAATTTTGGGATGACTATTCAATTACATACCTTTCATGATTACAGGGCTTCTTACCCACAACTCGCCATGTTGACCCAGCTCGCCATGCTGACCTACAGACAAGGATTCTCCGGTGAGGGGATCTACAATTTTTGCTTCAACGTTCTCACTAAGGCGGCCGGCCGACCTTCTTTGCAGGCATTCTTTAGCATCAATCATCCTAGAAATCCCTCCTGCCTCCGTCGAGCCATATCCCTGCATTAAATTAAATTTAGATTGCCATCCATGTACTCAATACGATATATTTGATTGCCAACATAAGCATTGCTATGAACCATATTTGCATGGGCTGGTCGTAATTTTAAGCAATTGTACTCTTTATAATTGGTACAAGGGCTGAAAATTAAATATTTGGCAGGTTAGTAGCTTAAAAAGTTGTCCTTTCAGAAAAGAAGTTAAGAGACTAAGAAGTTTATTATAATTTTAGTGTGAATGACATATATTAGCCTTATTGATGATCTCGTGCATCAACGTTAATGTCAATGATAAGAAATAATTTTTGTAGACTTTAGTATTTGTGTCAACCATATGTATATGTTTTATAAAAAATAATTATGTCAGTGGCGTGATGACAAGCAATAACGATGTTCATTGGTTTTATAAACAATGACAAGTGACAAAATTAGCACATATCAGCATTGGTTTAATGGCGTGCATCATTCTTATAAGCAAAGTCATTCAACATTGGCATGCATCAGTCCTATAGGCAATGCCACTCATTAATAATGTGCATCGATCTTATAAGTGTATCCAGGCATCGGCGATATGAAGATTGTAGTCAAATGATTAAAAAATCGTAGCCCAATGACAGTGGTCGAGCAATTATAATCAAGCGAACAATGGTAAGAAAGTAATAGTATAATGATGATGATTTTAATTATAATCAGGCAACATCAATAAAATAGCTAGTCATATGAATATAGTTGGGTGGCCATAATTAGGTTATTGTGATTAAATTACTATAAGTGAGTTATGATTGTTAGGTATGGCCCAAATGCGAGGAATTTGGAGTCTCTTGAAATTGGAGAGGTGTGTCTCTTGGAATGAAGAGATGTGTCTCTTGGAATGAAGAGGTGTGTCTCTTCGTGTGAAGCGATGTCTCTTGGATTAGTGAGTTGGGGGGAGCGAGGGCGTTTTGGTTATTTATCTATGTTATATATATATATATATAAACAATTTCTTAAATAGACTTTTTATGCTGATTATTTACAAACTCTTCTGAAATAGTGAAACTTATCGCTCGCTTAAATCTCTGTGTTCTTCTTATGGTTTTGTGTCAATTCCTGTTTTTCTTCTCCCTAAATTTCATAACAATTGGTATTAGAGCGAGGTTGACGTTCTAGGGTGGAGGAGATTGACACAGGAAGCAAGAAGAATGATTTTGGGATTTGGCAGGAGAAGAAGTTCTGGTGGTTTTTCGGCAGTTCCTCGGAGGTTGTACTTGTGATCGGCATTCGGACAGAAGGTTGCGAATCGCCGCAGGCTTGGAGGAGGTTCACAAAGATTTGCTAACAGAAGGCTTCGCAGAGGTGTTCACGCTAGTTAAGGCCAAAATTTTCACGTGAAAGAATATTCGCCAGTCGCAGCGCCGGGAAGGAGTTTGGTGACAATCGGCGAATTCGGCCCGACAAAAGAACGGGATTATCCACCGCGAGGGAATCGCAGGAGTAGTTCGCAGTGGACTAAGGCGACAGGCTTCGGATTCGCACTCGTGAACAGGTGCGAAGCGGCTGTCGCAGTTGGAGGCAGCAGAGTTACGGGAACCGCGAGGAAAAGTAATCTGGAGTTTTTTATTTGCACTAGAGGAATCTCTTGGGGGTTAATTCCTTTATTCCTGGAAGTCAGCTTGGAAGTGCCTGCCAGAGGAATTTCCCTTGGGGCTTTTCCCTTGGGGCTTAGTTCCTGGAAGTTAGCCTGGGCAAAGAGTGCACTTTCTGTGGCTGCAGGCAGAGGCAAGGAAGAAAAGGAAATTTTCATTCTTGTGTTGTGCTGGACCAAATTATTTTGCTGAAGTGACGCGCGAGAAGGAGGGGAGGCTGTTTCATAGAAGAGAGGAGTTCAGTGGAGAACATGATTAGTACGCAAATATTGTGGATTGTTCGCAAGCGAGGCGGGCTCGCGTGAACGAACAGATGCGAAGCAGTTCAGATAAAGAGTTGTGGTAGTTTGGCTAGTTCTGCTTTGGGGAGTTCCCGGTAGAGGCGGCGTCGTGGCTTCGAGGAGCGACAGTTCACGAACCTTCTCGGCGTTAGGCGAGGTGGAGTTCGTGAACAAGAGTTCGCGTGTAGTTATTGCGAACATGTGCAGTTGCAACAGGTGGTGCTCGACCAGCAGAGTTCACAAGTTTCTCGCATGAGTTGCGACATACGTTCCCAAGTTTGTCGCAGAAGTTGCAGCAGGTGCAGTTGTGACAGGTGGTGCTCGGCCAGCGGAGTTCGCAAGTTTGTCGCACAAAGAGTTGTGGCAGGTGCGGTTGCGACAGGTGGTGCTCGGCCAGCAGAGTTTGCAAGTTTGTTGCACGCGGAGTTGCGGCAAGTGCTTGCAAGTTTGTCGCACGAGGAGTTGCGGCAGGTGCTCGGCCAACGAAGCTCGCAAGTTTGTCGGAGCAACGAAGTTTGCAAGTTTGTCGTAGGAGTTGTGACAGGTGAAGTTTACAGGTGCTCGGCCAACGAAGTTCGCAAGTTTGTCGTAGGAGTTGTGACAGGTGAAGTTTGCAGGTTTGTCGCAGGAGAAATTGTGACAGGTGGAGTTCGACTGGTATCCGCAGTATTTCAGTTGAATTTTTGTGCGAATAGGAAATGAGTTTCATGTGAAAAAATTTGATTCACGAATCACTGGAAACTGCGGGAAATTGCTGCAAAATAACAAAGAAAATTTTATTTGTGGTGTGTGTTTTGTTTCATACCAGGCAGGTAAAACTCGCTGTAGGATTAAATTTGAATGACAATGTATGGTGCAAAATTCGAGATAGTGAAATTTGGCAGAACAGAGAACTTCAGATTGTTGCAAACAAAGGTGAAAGAATTGTTGACACAAAGAATTTTTTGAAGACATTACGGGTTACGAAACCCGATGATAATATCTATCAACTGTTGGGGAGTACAATTATAAGTGGAGTGCACTCTGTCGGATAATACGATAAAAATGCAGCAGGTATGTTGACCAAGCCAAATATTTTCAACAAGTTCTTGGGTGACTTGAACTTATTGAATGTTAGCAGTTCCTAGTTAGCATGGTTGGCCAACGCACGGTGTAAGAAACTCCATAATGTATTTTCTCCTGAGGGACTGTATATTCTCCAAGGTGGAGAATTGTTAGGTATAACTCATATGCCAGGAATTTAGATTCTCTTGAAATTGGAGAGGTGTGTCTCTTCGTGTGAAGATGTGTCTCTTGGATTAGTGGGTTGGGGGAGTAAGGGTGTGTTGGTAATTTATCTATGGGTTTTTTATATGTCTATATATATATAATTTATCTATGGGTTTTTTAGTCTATATATATGTGTAACCCTTGGGTATGTAACTTAACTCCCCATCTGAAATAGTGAAATTTGTCGCTTGCTCCCGAGGATGTAAGCATCTTTGTCGAACCTCGTTAAATCTCTATGTTCTTCTTTTGGTTTGTGTTGATTTTGTGATTGTTTCGCCCTAAATTTTATAACAATGATAATCAAACAACAATGATCTAATGGTATTGGTTAAAATACTACAGTCCGATTGTGAAAATTGAGAGGGGGCCACTTGAAATTTGTAGCAAAGTATTAGCTATTCGATAATGATAGTTAATGTAATAACTATTCACAATAATAGTTAGGTCGTGACGAAATAAGGGTGTCATCTAATCGTGTTGTTTAAGCAACGATCTAATAATGGTGGTCAAATAGGGATCAAGGATACTTTAGACCTCTATCTCTAATCTCCAGTCTAGATTTCCCATATATTAAAAGTGAGGCTCTATTTTTTATATTTTGGGAGAGCAAACTCAATAATACCTTCAAGATGTAGATTATTACATTCGACAACTCACATCAATCTATTTGATTAAAAAGTATTATTGAGTGTTTTAAGTGTCCTCATCACATTAAACTTCTGTAACTAGGATCATTTAATTCATCTTGCTGAGAAGCTTAATTTTAATTATAAACAAGCAAAAATTAAAGATTAATTGATCCATCAATTAATGTCTCAACATTTTTAATTATACTTCAAATATTTGATCTGAACTTGTTTAGATTCTGATTAGATTTATCTTGTTGAGTGGTTCAATTCAATTATAAATTTGACAAAAATAGGATTTAGGTAGTCTCAAACACGCCTCTAAAAAAATTATTTAAGTACAATATACATCTAGATTCTTGCTTAAGCATGTGAGTTTTTTTTGTTGATGAATAAATAATAAAATTTTTAAAAATATAATAAAGACACTTATATTAATTTAACTGCATTCATAACAATTTAAAGTTGTAAAAAATTGATATATTTATGTGAAATTGGAAATAGAAAGTATTATACTTATTTAAGAAATTTACACCAAATTTTTTGTCAAGTAAGCATTGAATGAGGTGATGACAAGAAAGAAGAGAAAAACAAATTAAAAGAAATATAGGAGAAATGCTGAGAAAGATGGGAGAAATTCTATTTTTATTTCACACTGTAAACTCTCTAAAATACTTTTCTACATAAATCATTAATTGCATATTCTAGATTTTCCTAAACATTTTTCAGAAATATGTTTCTAAAATGGACATTATAATTTATAAAAGTAAATTAAATCTTCTCTTGCATATGCAAGATGATATTTTATATAAATTAATGCTTAAATATTAGATTATGGGTGCAAACGAGTCTTAATCTATGAGTACGAAGGATTTGTTTATTATAAAAAAGAGAAAATATTAATAATTTAAGATAATTTTATAATAAAATGGTATATAGAATAAGTAATTAGTATAAAAATAATAAAAAATCTCTTAATATAAAATACAAAATATTATTATTTAAATATTTTTGACGCCTTAAAATAAAATCTTAAAGGTTAATATCTTTTAAATATGTATTTTTGAATAAGATTTTTTGTTTTCAAGTGATCGGCTCAAGAGCTAATGTGGCGACCTGGGTTAAATTAAATTTGACTTGCTATTAGCTCAATTCACAGAGAAAATATTACATTAGAATTCTTAACATAATTTTTTATTGGAGTTCAATGATAGGGCATCACGTGTTAAGTGGGCCCCACCACAATATATTTATATTGGTCAGCATTAAAAATAATGGAGCATAAGTGACGCTCTTATCATTAGACTCCGAATAGATCTAGATATAATATTTTTCATCAATTCACAAGCCACTTATGGACACTGACTCCCTTGCACCCCATTATTGGCAAGCTAGTAAAATCCTCCTAAAAAAAAAAATAAAAAACTGGACCTGGCAAAGCGAGACCCCTCGGAACCTCGACGAGAACCTCTCCGCCGCTTCCTCCGGCAACGGCGCCCCTCCGCAAAATATCCTTTTTAACGCAGACAGATCGTACCGCATCATCTCCCCCGACCACGCCATCCGCATAATCACCGGC